CTATTTTATATTTTATATTATATTAATTCTCGCACATTGAATGTCAGATCATTGTGTTTGCTTGACTCCAATAGATATCCACACTGTTTTAATATGAAATTCAGTTTCTTTAATAAATGGTTCGTTCCGAAAAAAATTTCTCTATATTAAATAATTTGAAATAATTATTGAGATAATTAAATTGTAATTTTTATATAATAATAATCTCCATAAGAAGGTCGACAAAGATATGAGTCCATTACTTTCACTTTAAAATGATCTTGAAAATAATTCTTTTCACTTTTAATGAATCTGCGCCTTAAAATAGTGCAACTTTATCTCGAACATTTTCTTTATAAAAACAAAAATACAGCAAATATATTTTCATTTAAAAGCCGCATCCTGTATAAGATTTAAAGCATTTTAAGAAATATTAATTTTTAACATTATGCTCTATTTTTTTTTTTTTATTCAGGATAACATGTGTAAAAAAAATTCAATAGTAGAAAAAAAATCTTAAAGATCCATTAAAAAACAGTTTTATGAAAGATCATACTAAACGATGATAGAACTTTTTAAACAATTTTTAATATATTTAGTTTGTGAAGGAATCTTAGGACTATTATACAGTACATGCCATGTATGCATTTCCCATCAATTATATCGCCTATTCTATAAATAATCAAATAAACTCTGACAGTTTGATACCTAATATTTTTTTTTTTTTTTCGTCTGTATATAAAGAATTTATGTAAGGCATTAATGTATGTAAGATTGCTGAAACAGATGTAGGGATTTCTTTTATTTTCTCTTTCCCCTGCAAAACTTGACTGAGAAGAATCGTTTCTTTTTTACAGATGGAAGAACTACAAAAGCAAGCTAAAGAAATCAGATCCATAATGAATTTAAAGGCCGGGTCAAATGGGTCAGGTATTACACCTGGCTGGCTCATCTGAAAATTTTGACAGCTATATATATATATACCTGTACAAAGATATGCTGTGCCACCAAAATTTGTTGATGCATAAAGCGCGATATTCGGTGCGGGCCAGCATGTCTTTGTAACGAAGATACTTGTGCTAATCAGGTAAATAATATGTTTTTTATTCTTTCTTTTCAATTGATTCATAGAATTGAGTATTAAATTATATATTATATTCAATTAAGATATATTACTAAGATAATGTCATTAAACTTTTAATTTTTTAATTTTTTTTAGGTTTTTTAATTTTTCTTGGATACCTGAGTACAATCCTATGGTACCCAGACACGAAATACCGAGGACGCCACCCCACAGGTTAGTTTTTCGTGCAATGCCAACGAAAATTTGCAATTGCGTCAAAAAAAAAATTTACTTTGTGCGACCTAAGCAAAAATTCCATAGGAGCCACCAGGCTCAATATTCAATAAATCCAAGAAAATTAGTTCTATTTTCATTCCCACATCAGTGGGTGATCCTTCGAGCAAATACACAAAGGTGCAAGAACGACAGCAGTCGTGATTGACCTTAATACTATTTCCCCTGCTTGAAAACTTGACTGAGAAGAATCGTTTCTTTTTTAGAGATGGAAGAATAACTTCAAAAATTAAAAAGAGAAGTTAAAAATCAGGCTGAAGAAATAAATGAATCTAAGGCCTTATGAATCTAAAGGCCCTGTTTGATATCACACTTGGCCTAAATTTTGACACGTACATATGTTCCAAATACGCTGCGTACATAAAATTTGTTGATGCATAAAGCGCGATATTCGGTGCGGGCCAGCATGTCTTTATAACGAAGATACTTGTGCTAATCAGGTAAATAATATGTTTTTTATTTTTTCTTTTCAATTGATTCATAGAATTGAGTATTAAATTATATATACTCAATTAAGATATATTACTGAGATGTTATTGAACATGGTTTTTTTTAATTTTTCTTAGATACATGAGTACAATCCGGATGGTGCCCAGACACGAAATACCGAGGACGCCACCCCACAGATTAGTTTTTCGTGCGACGCCGACGTTGAAACACACGTTTTAAGATATCGGATCGTCTTTCAGCTCTAATATTACTGTTAGTAATAGGAGGTTTATTATTACTTACAAAAAATAGAAAGAAATTAAATACTAAAAAGAAATAGGCAAAAAGATGATTAATCCAGAGAAATAAATTTTCCAATTTGGCATTATTAAAAGAGATAAAGACAACTGAAATTGTGATTATAGAAATTTTCTGCGTATGAATAACTCTGCTTTTTATTATCTGTTGAATAAAATTCTACCAAAGAAAAACTATCTGTAACACTAAGTTTTAGATTTTTAGTTAACTGGAAAGAGTTACAAAGATTAATTTGTTAATTAATTGATTCCCGTTAAAACATCTCAAATCAAATGCGACTTTTTTTGTATAATATCAAATCTGATCTTCTTTCTATTATATTATTCCACGAACACTCGTACAAATTTATAAATATTTATAACCTTCTCCCAAAGTTCTCATTCTGTTCTCTAAATTGTATGTTTGTTTTAGTTGAGTCCACTGGGAGTTTCGCTCGGAGGCTAAAGAACTACGTTAAATAAAATGAAACAAGTTGATTCAAGAAAATGATAGCGTTGTCAATTATATATTTTCAGCACAGACGAGGTATAAATACAACTAATAAACTATAGAGAAGCGTCCAGGACTTCAAATATAAAATTTTAACTTCGGCTAGTTTTTTTAAAATATTAGAGAATTAAAAAATTAAATTCTGCGTATAATATTATAAAACATTACTAATGTATAGACTAATGTAATGTTAAAAATTCGAGAAATCCTAACATTTCGTCGTCTAATCCAAATGATCACAGTTCAATAGAATGGCGAAAAAAGTTGTACAGTAATATAAGGAATAATTATAAAATTATATATTCAACAGATTAGCAGTTCATCCAAATCATTCGAGAGCTCGTACTGAATTGCTTGTCTGCCTCGCCTGCCGATCATCGTTCTTTGTCATAAGATTGCAGTCTTATCTCTTCAGCAATCTTCTGCGTCTATGTTATGAATAGACATTGCATCTTACGAACTTTCGTGACCCGTGACCTATAATACCG